CAGGGTGAAAAGGCGAACCTGTATCCCCAACCCAGTCTAATTGTATCCACCCTCAGCGTTTTGTAGACCAACGCCGACGTAGACGTCCGCAATACAGTGCTATACAGCATCTGTATGCCGGAAAACCGTCTGCAGCAGCGCACAAGGTGTTGGATGGTTCATGGAGAAATCCTGAACCAATATTCACGCCTTCTGTCGATGAGTTCCGAAGAGCCTGGCAGCCTATCTTTCAGACACCGTCTATCAAAGATACACAACATGCCGATTGCATTGGAAAGGTGCAATAATTGTCAATTGTTGTTCCGGTGACACCTGATGAGATCTTGAAGGTGTTATCGGCGGGTGCTGATTCAGCACCTGGCCCCGATGGGATAAGGATGAGGGATATCGTTGGACTTGGAGCAGATGTCCTGTGCAGCCATTTTAATCTATGGCTGCTTTTTGGAAGCTAACCCAGCCCATTATGTGCTGGGAGGACTGCGTTTTTACAGTAGGGCTCCGAATCTGATGATCCTCTTAAATACCGGCCCATCACCATTGCCTCTCACATTCTGCGAGTCTTCCATAAGGTTATGGCTCGTAGATGTGATGCAACGATTCCCTTAAATTACACCCAAAAGGGATTTCGAAGTGGTGATGGGATTGCTTAGCATGTACTCTCGGTACAGGCTATCATAGATAGTGCCAAGAGGAATTTAACAGCTCTCCACTAGGTATTCCTGGATGTGAGCAAGGCATTTGATTCGGTCAGTCATGACACCATTCTTTTAGCAATGCGTCATCTTGGCTGTCCGGATTCTTTCCTTTCTTACATCCGGGAATTTTACTTGAGATTCAGTACAGTGCTTGAGTAAAACGGGAAAAGGAGTGACCCCATCCATGTCAACAGAGGGGTTAAGCAGGGTGATCCATTGTCACCTTTTCTATTTAATGCAGACATAGCCTGGTCAATCTCTTCATTGGACAAGCACCTGGGGCTCTCGTTCGGCAATATTCGAATAACCTCGGATATGCCGACGACATCTTGCTGCTTGGGGAGACTCGGAATGGCCTCCGGAAACAACTGGGGAGGTTGGAGTCTCATCTTGTAGCAGGTGGACTCATCATCAGTGCTGGGAATGAGGGAAAATCAGCCTCTCTCAACATTGTTATTGATGGGAAACCAAGCGATGGGTCGTAGACCGAACTCCTTTCCTGGCGACCAACGGGGGTCTTATTCCATCATTGACTGCGACGGGGGAGTACAGATATTTGGGTGTAATGTTTCAGGGCAAGTGGAGCGACACTACGAAAAAACTTGAGATCCGACCTGGTGGGGGGACTTCGTAACATCACCAAAGCTCCCTAAATCCCCATCAGCGGTTAAAGATTTTAAAACAGTTCTTGATACCCAAGTATTTGCACGAACTCGTGTTGGCACCAGTAGGCGATGGGTGTTTAAGTGGCTCGATACCAGCATTAGAGCCAACTTACGCCAATGGTTGAAATTGCCAGGTGACACTCCAGTGGCTTTCTTCTATGCGGTTGTTGCTGATGGTGGCCTCGGTATCTCTTCATTACGATATACCATCCCTGTAATGAAGAGGAGGCGACTTGACAACGTCCTCTCGGCTGCTGATCCCATTTCACAAGCCTTGTTTGCCTCATCTTTTTTTTCAAAAACTGATGAGTCAAACCGCCAATTCCACTCTGGCTGGGCACTTGGTGACCGACAAGCAGTCATTGCTTAATGCTTGGGCTGCTGTGTTGCACACCAAGGTGTATGGGAGAGGCTTGTCGGAGGCACGGGCATGCCCGCAGGAAAATCGCTGGATAAGTGGTCCCCCCCCGGAATATTTCTGGGGCTAACTTCAACGCTGCGATCAAGGCTAGAGGTGGGCTCCTCTCAAGTAAGTCACGCAATTCGCGTGGCAGACCTGTGGGAGATAGACTCTGTGATACATGCATGCGCCCGGAGACGACTCAGCACATAATTCAAGTATGTGCGAGAACCAGCGGTCCTAGGATTCGTAGGCATGATAGGGTCGTTCAGTTCGTCTCAGCTGCGGCTTAGCGAGCTGGCTTCTCTGTCATGGTCGAGCCTAGGATTGTTGGGCGTGCGAAGCCTGACCTTGTCCTCTGGGACAGGAAAGGGCTTTCGTCGCTGACATCACGGTTTTCCGAGGTTGGGGAGTCAAGGCACACCATGATAAGTTCTCCTATTAAGACCAGCCGGAGATTAGGGAATGGGTGCAACAGGTAACTGGAGTATCCGATATTTCCTTTTCTTCGGTTGCCGCCAATTGCAGGGTGTGCTGTCACCTCTCAGCGCAGACTTCTTGAAGTCTGTTCCGAAATTGTCCAGTGCGAGTATTTCACTTCTTTCCCTGAGAATTTGTGAGGAAACATCTAGGATACACAGCTTTTTCCACAGTTCCACAGTAAGACAAAGGTATTGGTTGGGTGACATCGAGGATGATTTAATGCGTCGGCCGGCAAAATGGGCCATATGCTTTAGCTTTTGAATTAGGATTTTGAAATTTAGGATAGGTTTATCTGTTTATTATTTTGCGGTCGTGTGTTCTGGTTTTGTAATTCTCTTGTTTGTTTTGTGGGTCGACGTGCGGCGAGAGACGACTAGATTGCCATGTACTTCTTTTTTAATTCGTATGTTTTGGGCATTTGGGCGATCCAAGATCTCAACTAAAAGAGTAGATGTTAAAGGAGGCGGAGCTGGTGTACCGACATCGCCACTCAGGGTTTGATATTCCATCTATAGTGGAGACTCAAAAACTACATCTTTAAAGGCAGGCTCGCCAATTATCAGGCATAAGGTTATGGAGTGGTGCACAAAGGTTTTGGCAGCCTCATGGAATGAAAGAACAATCATCATCTACTATCTACATAGTGGAAAAGGCAGTCGAAACCAGCTACCGTCTAACCAGCCTCCCATTTTCCAGCTCTTTCATGTTGGCTCGAATCGAAATTATTAAGATTAATAAATTAGGTAAAATATAAATAATCGTTTTTAATTAAATTGACATGGATGGATTAACGAGATTCCCACTGTCCCTATATACTATCTAGCGAAACCGCAGCCAAAGGAACGGGCTTGGCAACAACAGCGGGGAAAGAAGACCCTGTTGAGCTTGACTCTAGTCTGACTCTGTGAAAGAACATGAGAGGTGTAGAATAAGTGGGAGGAGCAATCCGAAGGTGAAATACCACTACTCTTATCGTTTTTTTACTTATTCGGTGAAGCAGAGCTGGACATCAAGTACACTTTTTGGAATTAAGATCGCTCTTCTGCCGGTCGATCCGAGCCGGAGACACTGTCAGGTTGGGAGTTTGGCTAGGGCGCACGACTGTCAAATGATAACGCAGGTGTCCTAAGGTGAGCTCAATGAGAACGGGAATCTCATGAAGAATAAAAGGGTAAAAGCTCACTTGACTTTGATTTTCAGTATGAATACAAACTGTGAAAGCATGGCCTATCGATCCCTTAGTCTTTATGAGTTTTAAGCTAGGGATGTCAGAAAAGTTACCACAGGGATCACAATAGCAAATATATGTGATTTACCCACCCTCTTTTCCATACCCTACCCATACTTATTCTATGAGCCTTCAATGTTTTTCCTTTTTCTTAAACGTCCTCTTTTTCAATTTAAATAAATTTATTAATAGTTCTTTCATGATTTTAACAATGCACTCACACACTTTATTTTTATTATCATTTGTTTTTACATATTTTGTTTCTTCTTAAAACAAGTTTCTTTTACGAGTAAATGGCATGTTCCATATATTTTTCTGCTATGACGATTTTTTTGCAATTTTTATACAAGTTTCATAACTAATATAATATATATATGCTTAACCTCCTTGTTTATTCCAAAATGTAACTTCCGTCCCAATGTCTTTGGAAAACGAAGAATATTATTCACAATCACAACTTTGGCTTCTTAAACATCTTCTCATTCTTACTGTTCAAAGTATCTCACTGCTCTCGCTTCTCGCCCCTCTCACTCACTCTCTGCTCTCTATACATCCGTTCCACTCATGTTTTCTATACTGTTCCTTGTCGTCCCCAACATAAACCCAAATGTTCAATTGAAACCCAACACCACTTTAATTTGGCACCTTCCCCCACATGTGACTACAATGAGTCACTTGTTTATAGAACTTTGTCCCAAGTTTATTTCATTCCTGTTACATTAGCTCCTGATTTATCGCCTCCATCCACAGCAGCTTGTTGTCTTGGTTTGAGTTCTTCGGCGTTCACTTGCAGCTTCTTTTGATGGTTGCTGACATCACAATTTAATTCTGAAGGATAGATCAGTTGGATTGGCCTCTCAAGAGAAATTGGTCCACAATGAAGTTTGACTCCTCTCACAACTCCATCCCTTTCACGGATCAACATCGTTACCTTTCCGATGTTCCACATATTTCTGTTTTCTCCTCCTTACCCATTAAAACGATATCTCCCTCTTTCGGATGAGATTCGATTGCTGATTTGTTAACTTGTTTGCGTTGGCGTAGACTTGTTAAACATTCTTGCTGCCAACTGTTCCACAATTGGTTTTTGATTTTGTACAAATACTTTGCTCGCTTTCGTAATTCACCGTCCTTAATGTGATGACTCTCCACCTCAGGGATGACATTCGTCTGTTGCAGTACGAACGAAGATGGAGTCAGTACGGGGTGTTCAACATCATCCTCTACATAGCTCAATGGTCAATTGTTCATACAAATTTCTACGTTCAGAACAACTTCTGCTAGTTCATCGAATTTCAAAAATCCTTTACCAACGACTTTGTAAAATGACGATTTCAATACACCAATCAATCGCTCAAACTGGCCTCCTCACCAGGGTGTAAGATTGAATCTCCATTTAATGCTATGTTTACTGAGCTCGCTGTGAAAACTCTCGTCTTGCATTGCTCTCTTTAACGCCGTTGCAGCTTGGAACGTTTTCGCATTGTCCGAATTCATCGGCGAAGGACGACCTCGCCTTGCTATGAGCCGTTTTATACTTTGCAGGAACAAAGTTGTCTCAAGATTCTTCAACACTTCAAGATAGACTCCTCGCGTCAAACTACAGGAAAAGAGCACCATACAGGCTTTTCCTTCTTGATTTTCTTCTTAATGGGATCAGCGAAATCGACATGAATGACTTTAGTGTGGTTCCTTCTGTTCGAGTCTTTGGTAAAGGAGCAGGTATTGGAGCTAGATACGGTTTGGTCGTGAATCTCTTGCATCTGTAGCATCTCTTCCTTTGCTTTTTGACTAGTCGACAAGCCGAGGAACCCAATATCTTTCTCGGACTTTTCCATCGTTAGTATAACTCCCCATGGAGTGTTTCCAGAGTGCATCTTCCACTAACTTCACGATGAATAGTGTCATCAGGCAAGTAAATAGGGATCCGACCGTGGATCCGACCGTGGCATCTTAAAATATTGTCATCGTCAGTTTGTACATTTAATTGAATCAGATCCATTTGAGACTTTGGGTTTTCTGTGACTCCGGCTTGTGCAATTTTTATCCATGACATGTGTTGCTCTTCCACTTCTTCAGATGTCGGTGGCCCGTGCTTTCTATTATCTCTGTTTTCTCGAGCATTATCAATAAATCGTTTCACCCACGTCCTAATACAAATCGCCTTTGGCAATGAACGTTTTTCAAGTATATCACTGAATATTGCCAAGTCTGACCACTGGATAGTCGTGCTCAAAACTACTCTCGTCTCCTTTGCTTGATATTGGAAGTCAGTCGACAGTTTGACTATAAGATCTGGTGGCCAACGACTATGCTCTGATACCAGGCAATACCTTTCATCCACATCTTGGTCAGTTGCCACCTCGACTTCTGAGGTCAGCCGGATTGTCATTTGTTGGCACATGATGCCACACGATCTCATTAGAAGCTCGGATTTTTGCCACTCAATGCGACACGAATTGTTTATAATCCCCCTCTCCTTTAATCCATCATAAAGCTAGAGTACTATCTGACCAGGGGTGTTTTCTGTGTGGAATGTGTCTCAGTGCATTGCTAGCATTGGAGAACAAATTTGCGGCGATATAACCTGCAGCAAGCTCTAACATTGGGATAGTCATTGCTCTTTTGGCAAGTCTTTATTTCCCTGCCAGTAATTCCTGAGTAATTCCAGATGGTTGTTTAGCGACCGTGCAGACGATTGCACATAAACCTTCACCGCTGCCGTCCCCAAATCCATGAATCTATAAGCTACAGACGGGTTCTTGGAACGACAGAACCGCTCTTGGCACGGTCACTTCGCTTGGTAAGGTGTTTCCACTTTTCCCAGCTCTGCTTCAGTTGCCAATTAATGCATCCCCTAATGTTTAGTCAACGTACAGAGACCTGGCTTGCAGAGCGACTTTTCGTGATCCAAGCGGAACTTCTCAAGTAGGAATGAAGACGAAACCAATCCCAACAATACTCTCGTGAACCATTGTCTTCATCAGCCTGTGGATTTGGTCAAATGAAATCATAAAGAATGCCATTCACTTTCGCGTGCATGAATTTGAAGTAATGCCTTTTGATATCTCCAGTGTTTGCAACATGAAAACTTTGCGCTCTTACCAGTACTTCCCACAGCTAGTTATTTAGCGTAGGTCCCGAGTACAGGCATTCGTTTAAAGAACGACATTCTGGTGAAGCATTTGCTGATGCACTGTACACCACTCTCAGTTTAGTGGACTGCGCTGACTCGCGTACGAATTCATTATGAGGCATGTAGAATTCATTACCTTTTGCTACGTCAGTTGCTGGTTTAACTATGGCATTGTTCTTTTGTCTTGACTTGCGTTGTAATCTTTAGTCAATTTCTTTTGCTGTAATCGTCCCTCTAAAGATTCCAACCTTCTGATGCTTCCCGTTTTGTTCGATGGGAGGGGTGGATTATTTCCGCGCCATGGAAGACCGGTCTCGTACCGGTAGTGTCTGCTAGTCCTTCAGCAGTGTCTGCTAGTCCCAGCACATCCAACCTGCTGAGATCTTCATAATCCTTCTGTGAAATTTGGGCAAGCAACATCTTTTTACTGTTTTGTTCCACACCAGGACTCATGGCAAACATCCGAAATTTGTTTTTTCTGCAATCTGTCGCCTTCAGTTCCCACTAGTGGAATCGTGCGAGTTTTTATCCGTGCATATTGCCCGCTTCCCCAACCGATATTGACAGGTAATTGAGCTTTCTGATCATTATCAACAATTTTTGCATTCTTCAACTCTTTTTGTAAGTGATTTATAATGTGGATGGATTGTCTACTGTGAGTAACTGTTCTTTCTCCACCTTGATCAACTTCACTTCACCTTCATTGAATAATAACTGTCTATTGCTTCAACTTCCCCCTTCATAAATTTCCATTCTTGTTGTTTTTGATGTTTGAAGTATGTCAACTTTAGTGGTTTGTGTCTCAGTTGGTTTCACCCTCAGCATAGATGAAGCTTTACCAGATATGTATGAGCTTCCAGCCCCTCACGCGATCAATGCACAGCATGTAATTCCATTTATCTTGACAACAAGAATGGGGAAAATTCTTTCACCAGTACATCCATCTGTAGTCAACAGAGTCTCACCTGATTTTGGTGTTTCTTCCGATTAGCAACATCACATATGCTCGTATGGTGTCATTTAGGGCAATTTCTGCATGATGACTTGCTGGGGCAAATGTTAGCATGATACTGTCCTGCTGCACAGTTGAAACAAAGTTTCTTTTTGACTAAAATTGCTCTTTTCTCCATGACAGTACTGATTAGGTTACATTCCCCTGATTTAATACTTCCTTCACAGTAGACGCACATCGTCTTTTCTTTAGTATGGAAGACTTTTTCTGACCTTCGAGATTTCCATCCAGGTGTGTCTGACTCTTTCTCAAAGATTGGATTTCGCCTGGTCCACTGTCTGACTGTTTCAGTAAACTTGAAAAAAGTCCCAACTTTCCCTTTCTGGATCATTTCTTACAAAGTCCCCACGTATGGATTGGAGTTTGTCCAGAGTCATGGAAACATTTCCTTGGACATCTTTCAGTTAACCCAGCGTTTCCAAAGCTTGGACACTGTGATTTTACTTCTCAGTAAACTCGACAATTTTCTCAGGTTTGCTCCGGAGATATAAGGCAAGTCCATGATCTCTTTTATGTAAGCTTTATATTTTCCGAATTCTTCCCATACTGATCTTTTAAAATTGACTTTGCTATATTGTATCCTTTGGTGGTAAGCAGTAATGATTCTACTCCTCGCTTAACTTTGGGCCCAAGAATACCACACAGATATGTGAATTTGTTGATGGCAGCTATATTTGACTGGTCCATCGTCTCCGTAAATTGCCCCCAAAATCTGGACCAATCCATGTATTCCCCCTCAAATTTCGTAATATTTATTTTTCGTAATCTCATCGACATACTTTTATCACTTATTTTTGAGTCAATGGACTTTGAATTTTGGATTTTTGCATTTACTTCAGCCTTTGTTTCTTGAAACTTTACCCTCAAATTTAAGTTGCTCCTCGTGAGCGTGATTTTCCTCTTCTAATTTCCTATTGTTTAGCCAGTGTTGTAGCTTTATTATTTCGTCTTCGGCTTCCCTTATTTTTGTTTCGATTTCCGCATTCCAATCGCTGATTTCTTCAAGGTCGTCTTCTCTTTCGATTTTTGCTCTCACGATGAACACCAAAATAGAAAATAGATCGCACGATGAACAACAAATATCTTCCTGAAAAGACAAAATTCCTGTCTTGAATAGAACTAGAGGCCTTTTAAAATCTTGTTCTGCAATCGCACAATTTATGACATTAAATGATGCACATCGTCTGTTAAAACATATGTTAATGAGATATTCATGCATAATTAGAGAATCCTCTGCTAACAAATGTTTCATGATATATTTTTCAAATTCCTTTTGTATTATTTTGTATTATTTGTCATTAATTTCTAATTAACTAAAAATCCTTTTCCTTGAACTCAAACATGTTGTATAAATAACATCATTATATATAAATTCAAGAATATTTTCATAATTAAGATCTTTTTTAAAATAAACCGAATGATTAAAATGTGTTTATCTAAAAATTGAAACCTGCAACAGTCTCAAGATTGTGCTAAGAATAATAACATGTTCCCATATTACAAAGCAAGATGTTAAACAAGTTATTACAGAATGTTGCAAAACATAAATAAATAGATATTTCAACATTAGAGAGCATTACATGTAATTATGCAATATCAGAAAATTAGAACATATTTCCTCTGACATGACATATGAAAACTTAGTTATTATAACTTAAAGAACAGAAATTATGTTCAATTGTGTAAGAATACTTTATCTATATGAACATGTACCACTTCAGCACAAATAATTGTAAGCTATAGCTAGAAATTCATAGTTATTTAACAAAAGTCTATTACATAGATTTAGAATTAACAGAGCCAAAACTTGACATAAATAATTAAATGTTTTTTAAAATCTCTTTAAAACCAAGGAATGAAACGTTCTTAAGCGCTCTAACCAGGCTTCCCAATCTGCTAAATTTTCATAAAAGTAAAAATATCTTCATACAAAATGAGATTTCACAAAGGAAATTTCCTTGAAAATAGTATGCAAACTTTTATTAAAATTTTAAAATTTGCATTTTGTCGAAAATTTCGTGGAAATTTACGTGTTAGTGCATTCATGTTTCCCTCAGGGCACACCCATCTAATTTTAACGCTCTTTCCGAACCTGAAATCAGATTTAAAATTGGACTTGTTTTTCAAAAGTTATTAACGAAAATTTTGTACTGGTACGTCATAGCTAACAACTTTCGGTTTAACAACGCTACACACTTCAAATTTTTAAAAATTGTTTAGACACATTAGGGCAATGTTCAGTCCAAATTTTAACGAAATCGCTCATGTACCACTTAGGCACTAGTAGGTTATAGCTAGAAATTCATAGTTATTTAACAAAAGTCTATTACACACATTTAGAATTACCAGAGCCAAAACATGACAGAAATACTTAAATGTTT